GAAAGAAAGAAAGAAAGAAAGAAAGAAAGAAAGAAAGAAAGAAATTATCCAAGTCCTTCTTAAAGATCTCCCCAAACAGATGCTGAAGCCACTGCTTGTAAGTTGCAGATACTTGTCATGTTGTGCAGACACGTCCGAATATACGGGGTTGCAGTTGACAGTTGACTTTCACCAATGCATCCACCCCCTGAGATGGTGGAAGGCAGGGAAAGGTACCTCGCAGATCATCTCTTGGCTTTATTCTAAGCCATCTCAGCTCCAAGGCCTTCTCCCGGCCCAGGGCTTACCAACAGTTCTACAGGCAGGACAGGGGAAAAATGACTTTGGTATTCCCCTCTGGATCCCGTGGTATCCCTTACGGATCTTCCCGTAGTTTGATCTTCTCTCCATGTTAACTGACTAAAGGTGACGAGGGAGAAAAAGAATGGGCTAGATTCAGCAAAGGCCTGGGGACCAAGAAGGAGGGACAGGTGCACAGACTCACATGTGCATCTTCCTTTCCCACCTCCGCTCCTGCTACTTACGGTGAGGGTAAGTCAGGAGCAGAGAACTCAGGGAATAGTTCCTCCTGTAACCACCCCCCCCACTAGGGTCAACTGGGCTCCACAAGAGGTATTCCATTTGACTGCGGCAAGGAGAATCTTTCCTTCCAACTTGCACATTCAAAATAGTGTCTGTATAATAAAGTGGAAATCTGTCCTGATAAGCACAGACCCTGGGAGTTCTTATCTCCCCAGTGTTCATCCGACACCATTTAAATATGTATCATAAGAAAAGTTTCCTGGCTGGGGCGGGGGTCGAGTCATTATAGTAACCGCAAGCACTTACCGGTGACTTTGGATAGGTCATTTTCCCTAGGAAGTGGCCGACCTTGAATGAGAACTGGACTTCGTTCCCCCTGCAGTCCACTGGCCTCTCCTGGATACCACAGTGTCTCCCAAATAGCACATGATTATGGGAAAACAGGACTAAAACTCAGTTCCACTGAAAGCAGAATTGGGGAACAGCTTTTCGGGACCTCCAGAAAGAAGAG